AAAAAAAAAAAGTTTAATGGACTCACAGTTCGACTTGGCTGGGGAAGCCTCACAATCATGGCAAAAGGCGAAGAAGAGCAAAGGCACATCTTACATTACATGGTGACAGGCAAGAGAGCATGTGCAGAGGAACTGCCCTTTATAAAACCATCAAATCTCATGAGACTTACTCACTATCACAAGAACAGCATGAGAAAAATCTGCTCCCATGATTCAGTTACATCCCACTGCGTCCCTCCCACGACACATGGGTATTATGGGAGCTACAATTCAAGATGAGATTTGGGTGGGGACACAGCCAAACCATGTCACCTAGTGTGCTGAGAACTTTAGTAGGAATAGGTGTTGTACTTTGTCAAATGCTTTTCTGCATCTATTGAGATGATCCTATAATTTAAAAAATTTAGTTAGCTAATTTAGTGATTTGTTGATTTTTGACTGATAAAGCAGCATTCCTGGGATAAATTCCACTTGGTCATAATGTATTATCCTTTTTATATATTGTTGGCTTCAGTTTGCTAATATTTGGTAAAGAATTTTTACATCTATGTTAATGAGTGATACTGGTTTATAGTTTTCTTGTAATAACTTTGGTTTGGGTTCATTTTGCTTTTTGGTTGTGTGGGGATATATATTTCATCAGCTTTGGGAAAAAATTGCTCATTATCTCTTCAGATATTTTTTTCTGAATCCCTGTCTCTTCTATTCTATTCACAATTCTGATTGCACATAAATTCAGCCCCTTGTAGTAGTTTACAGATCACTGATGATTTGTTTACTTTTTTCATTGTTTTTTCTCTGTTTCATTTTGAATAGTTTTCATTGCTGTCTTCAAGTTTACTAATTATTTTTCTGTCTAATCACATAATATCTTGCTGCCTGCTAATCCCATTCAGCTTGTGTTTTATTTCTGACGTTGTTATTTTTATCTCTACAAGTTTGATTTGCATCTTTAAAAAAATGTCTTCCATGTATCTACTTTACATGCCTAAACTTTCCTCTAGCTTTGTGAACATATGAATAGTGTTATAACAATTATTTAAATATCTTTGTTTGCTAATTCTGTCCTCTTTGTTATTTATGGATTGTTTTCAGTTGAATGATTTTTCACCTCATTATAGGTTACCTTTTCCTCCTGTTTTGCGTGCTTGGTAATTTTTATTGGGTTTCAGACATTGTGAGTTTTACCTTTTTGGGTGCTGTGTATTTTTGTATTTTAAAAACTATTCTTACATTTTATTCTAGGATGTGGCTAAGTTACTTAAAAACAGCTTGAGCCTTTCAGGTCTCGCTTTAAACTTTGTTACATGAGATGAGAAGCATTTGGCCTTGAGCTAATTTTGCCTTGCTATTGAGGCGGAATCTTTCAAAGTATTATAACAGATGCACCTAGAATGAGGCCTTTACTTTGGCTGGTGGGAGCAGGAGCTGTTGTTCCTGGCTGTCTGAACTTGGAGACTTGGTTTTTTTTTTTTAACTTTCATTTCATTTGTTCCAAGACTTTGGGTAATGTCTTCTTACACATACACTGATCTCTACGTAGCTGAAGACTAGAGGGATACTCTGCAGATCTCTAGAGTACTTTCTATATGCAGTTCTCTCCTCTCTGGTACTCGGTCTTACGAACTGTGGCTATGTGGCTTCTCTGGATGCCCTCTCTGGATGTCACTTCAACTCAGAGATACTGCTGGAGCTCCTGTGCTGTGGTTTAGAAACTCTCTAGGCAATAATGAAGGTGAACCCTATGATTGCAGTAAGACAATCACAAGGTTTACCTTGTTTCCTCTCTCTCAAGGATCACTGTCCTATGTTGCCTAATGTCTCAATGTCTGAAAACTGCTACTTTCTGTATTTTGTCTTTATTTTTTTCTCCATCTTGTCCAGAAGTGAAAAATCTCTCATGTACCTGGAAGTTCACCATCTAAATTATAATAGAAATGAGATGACTAGAAATATTTGGATCACATGTAAATAAGCTTGAAGTAAAAACATTATAAATTTGGTTATGTTGATTTAGGGTATTCAAGGAAAATTTTTTTTGACTATATTACATTTAGACAGTGAACTCTAGAGAGTTTCTGCTATAACAAAACACCTTAATACCATAAACTAGGTAGCTTATAAACAATAAAAGTTTCTCACAGTTCTGAAGGCCGGAAAGTTCAAGATCAAGGAGTTGGGGAATTCAGAGTTGGGGCAATCAAGAGGGCTAATCCCATTCAAGAGGGCTTCACCCTCATGACCTAATCACCTCCCAAAAGGCCCTACCTTCTAATGCCATCCCAATACTTGGGGGTGAGGTTTCAAACTATGAATTTTGTGGGAATACAGGTGTATATATTAGAACATGACAATGTTTAGAATGCTTCAGGCACTGTTCTAAATGCTTGAGATATGTTGATGAAAAAATGAAGATCTCTACCCTTATGAAGCTTGAAGCTTTTAAGGAACTTATGCAAAGATAAACTAACAGATAACAATGTATAAATTTATCAATTATATAATACGTTAGAAGGTGGAAAAAGGGAAAAGGAGCAGGATAAGGGGATTGTGAGTACTGGGTAGAGAAGTGCAGGGTATTGGGATGCATTTTTAAGGAGGCCTCATCAAGGAGGGATGTTTGAGCATGTGAAGGAGTTTCCCATTTGGGAAATTAGGGAAACAGCCAGACAGAGGGAACAGTCAGGGTGAAGACCCTGAGGCAGGAGCCTCCTTGATATGTTTGTGGCTTTACAAGACATTGAGTAGAGTACACAAGGGGGCAAGAGGAATAAGAGGTGAATTGGGGAGTGGGGAGAATCAGATTCTATGGGAGCTTATAGATTTTTAAAAAGACTCTAGTTTTTGCACTGGTCCTCACAAGAGGTTTTACAGGATTTCGAAAGAGGAGTGCCATTACCTGAATTGTATTTTACAAGGATTTTAGTGGCTGGTGTATTGAGAATTGTCTGGGGTCAGGGAGTACAGGGCAAGGCAAGCATAAAAATAGTGAGGCCACTGCAGCATTGTGGGTATCAGATGATGGTGGCTCAGACCAAGGTGGTAGCAATCAAGGTGGTGAGAAGTGGTCAGATTCCAGATGTGTTATAATGATAGAGTCAATGGGACTTCAAAGTAGATTGGTGTGAACCTTTTCTAAAAGTTTCCTCCTTGGAGAATCAGAAGAATGCTTGAGAGAAGTTTGAATCGGTACTGCATTTAATGTTTGGGAATGTGATTTTTTTTTTTTTTTTGACATGTCAGTACAGTTTTTAGTAAAAGCTTCTGCTAAAATGATTTCAAAAGCAATTATATGATATTTTGTACAATGATGATCTACTATACAGTAATTTTTTATGTTAAGAAAAAGGGTAGATATTTAGTATGCTTATCCATAAGATGATATCCAACTATTTGCCTCCCTATGAATATTTTACAATGCCCAAAGTATTTAAAAACTTAAATAGCTGACAATAGCAAATTGATTTTACTTAGAATCAAACCTTCGAATGATTAAAAAATATGTAAAATAAAGCTAAGAATATTTTGTAAAATGCCCCTCACTGATTCCAGATACTGGAATTGAACCCAAAATGACCAATGGGAGTGCTGAGAATATTAGATTCAGCTCCAAACTTTTGTCTTGATCATTTAGTTTACTACTTCAGCTTCTCTTTTACATCTTCTCATGAAGAGAATTATTTCTTTTATCAGTTTTTGTTTTTCCTAGAAGAAGGAAATGCTAAAAATGCCATCAGGACCGTTCAAATTTGCATCCAAGCTCCTATTTAAGTTATCTTAACATTTAAACTTTATGTGACAGCTTTTCTTTGCAGTGGATTTCATTTCTTACAAGAATAGGAAAAACTGTTTTCTATTGTTAGAATCCTTTCGAATTTTTTTTTAAATATTGAATTTTGAAGAGGTAAAATTGTTTATTCTTATTGGCCTTCTCTCCTTTCTATTTAAAATAGTCCCTCCATCCCCATCTTTATGTATATTAGAAAGCAGTTATTGTGGCTAACCATTTAGTTTCCCATTGGGGCCATTTGGATGTGTTTTTGAGGGTCTACTTAGATTTTGTTTTGCCAGTCTGTCACTGGTCTTATTAACAGTCAAATCTTAAGACTTCAATATGTATTACTTCGAGGTTTTAGTGTTGGAATGATTAAAATAACAGAAACAAAAAATAGGGAGTGGAAAACTAGCAAGTAGGCACAAGTTCAAGGAATCCATTACTGGCTGGCTGAGATCTTTAAGTAGTTGGCTATGGAAGAAGATAGAGTGATTAATTATTATGGTAACTACTTGCTATTACTATTTGCTTAATCAAATTACTTAGGGAATGGGGTAATTATCCTACATGCTGAAATATTTGAAAACAAGTCTTTTATATTTAGCTATCAGTATCCTTTTATCTACTTTGTTATGTTAAAACTTGCTGTTTAGGACTTAAAAGTTACTTTTGGGACATACCATAGTACTTTACTTACCACAGTAAAAATGATTCTGAGGGTTATGTATATATTTTTATTGCATCAAGGCTTAGAAATGTAACCATACATATTTGAGCATCTCTAGATGTACCCACTAATTTTGGATGGATCCACGTATTCTACTAGGTAATAATGCCAAATCTGAAGGCATTCACTTAATTGTAAACTGTTAATTTGATTAATCAATCTTGTGACATTAACTGAGAACCCTGTTGGTCCAAGATAAATCTTAATATTTTCTACTGAGAAGTCAACTATTTTTACATCTTATTGTGTTGAGTTTTGCCAATTTTTACTAATCAGTTATTGCAAATGGTATTGTAACATTCCAATTGTAAAATTTCTAATTTGGGGAAAAATTTTCAGGAAGTTTTTAGCATGCAGTCATCTTATTACTTTGAGGTAAATCAGGAATTATGTCCATATGCAAGACTTTTTCTCAATTGCCTTACCATATTACCTATATTTATTGAATATGTAGGAGAAGATGACACTGAATTTTAAAAATAATTTTTCTGTTGTTAGCTTTTTAGTTGGAGAAGGAGCCTACAGATGGGCAGTAGATCATGGAATACCCTCTTGCCCTCCTAACATCATGACCACAAGTGAGTAAAAACTTAAAAAAAATTAAGCTATATGAGCATATATACCTGAAAGTATAATATTGCTTCTGTTGTGACCCATGTAGCACAGATATTTATGGAAGAAAACTTACATGTTGAAAGATTTGTAGTTAAAAGATATGTAGAAAGTTATTTCATTTTAAGCCACCTTTATATTCCCGAGGTCATCTCACTGCTTCCTTACGCTTTTATAAAAGTATTGCTAAAAGATCCCTTTTAGAGATTACTTAAAATAACTAATAAAACCATAATACCACCCTTCAATGAGAGAGAGAGAGATGGAGAGAGAGAAAGGGAAGAAAATACAGGTCAGTACTTAACAGTCCTTGAGCTGAGGGAAGGACTTTTTAGATACAAGTGCAAGGGAAGGAAAAACAAAGGTGTGACTACATAAGAGTGAAACTGAAAAACAGTTATCACAAATATGATAAAGGGATAAATATCCTTAATCTATGAAGAAATTTGCCAAATTTACCAAATTAAAAACAGCACAAATACAAGTAATTGCCCAATATAAAAATGATCAAAAGTCCTAAGTACATAATATAACCTAACAGGCAAATTCAAATTAAAATGAGTACATGTTCGCTTTTAACTTCTACTTTTGAAATTTGTTCGCTTTTAACTTCTACTTTTGAAAGATTTAAAACATATTATTCCTGGTAATTGTTTGGTTAAATAATCATAATACATTGTAGGTATAAATGTAAATTGGCGGAGATTTTAGAGGACAACTAAGTAGTACAACTAAGTGTTCTGCTTCTAGGAACCTGTCATTGGAGATAGACAGAGATTTATATAGAAGGGTGCTCAAGTGAGCATTATTAAGAATATACAAAATTTGAAAAAATCTTATACCCAACACAGAGGAATATGAGTAAATAAATGATCATATATTCTTAAAATGAAATGTTATGAAGTAACTAGAAATTATTGTGAAGACTAATCTCTGCTAATGATTAAATCTAATGACTGAAAAAAGTGAAAAATGAAGTTATAAATATGTATGTTTGGGTATATTATGTCTATTTTAAAAATATTTGCATAAAATGAGAAAGAAATATTAAAAACATACACTATTTTTTAAATAAAAATTTTATTTTTATCACTGAAATCTGTGAATATAATTTAAATAATCAAATGAAAAAATGAGGATTAACTCCAAGGAAGCCAAGTTAGTTAAATAGGGTATAATTAGCCAGGTGTGGTCATGCACTCCTGTACTCTCAGCTACTTGGGAGGTTGAGGCAGGAGAATCCTTTGAGCTTAGGAGTTTGAGGCTGCGGTGGGCTATGATTGCACCGCTGTATTCCAGTTTGTGTGATAGAGCGAGACCTTGTCTCTAAAAAAAAAATTATATTCGGAATGAATATTCATATAGTGCTAAAAGTTGTAATATAGGGAGGCTAGAGGGAAGAGAAATGTGTGTGTAGCAGTAGGGCTGGATTATGAGAGTTTTAAATTCCCATGATTCCTGTCACTCATTATGTCTTACAGTCTTTCCAATGGAACTTATTTTACAGTTCTTGTATCAGGCAAACAAATTAGGTCATCTGTCAGTTCCCTTTTTTTTCCCTTGGAGACAGACCACCTGGCACCTTCCAGTCTAGAGTCTTACTAGGTCTGCTGCATGGCTGCCATCCTGGACTGTGCCTTGCTTCACCTTGTGATCTCCTTCGCCTCTCTCCAGTATCAGGTTCTCTGTTTCCTGGATCTCATGTGTTTTTCTTCCTTTTTTATTCCTTATTCAGTACATACGAGACTGAAAGTCAGTTTCCCTTAGGTTTTTGAGGAAATTGTTATCTTATTATCTGCTTTCCAGTCTTGCTATTATGCAAGACTCACAAATGTTTTAGTGTATTTTTTCTGTTTGGAAGGAAGCTCTTAATTCCCATGTTTTGATGATCACAATGAAGCATCTTGGGGCATTTTTTTTTTTATTCTTTATGTTGAGTGCCCATTTTGCACAGTCTGGACATTTATATGCTTCAAATTTGGAGAAATTGAAAATTTGGGGATAATTTTTTGCTTCACATTTTCTGTATTTTATTTTCCTAATACTTATTTTTTAAACACTTTTAATTTTAGGGGCACATGTACAGGTTTATTATACAGGTAAACTCATGTCACAGGGGTTTGTTGTACAGACTATTTAGTCACCCAGGTATTAAGCCAAGTACCCTTTAGTTGTTTTTCCTGATCTTCTTCCCCTGTCCTACCCTTCACCCTCAGGCTCCACTGTCTTTTGTTCCCCTCTATGTGTCCATGTGTTTCCATCATTTGGCTCCCACTTATAAGCTAGAGCATGTGGTATTTGGTTTTCTGTTCCTGTGTTAGTCTGCTAAGGATAATGGCCTCCATCTCCATCTGTGCTCCTGCTGCAGACATGATCTCATTCTTTTTTATGACTGCATAATATTCCATGGTGTATATGTACCATATTTTCTTTATCCAGTCTATCATTGATGGGCATTTAGGTAGATTCCATGTCTTTGCTATTGTGAATAGTGCTGCAGTGAACAAATGCATGCATGTGTCTTTATGACAGAACAATTTGTATTCCTTTGGGTATATACTCAGTAATGGGATTGCTAGGTCAAATGGTAGTTCTGTTTTTAGCTCTTTGATGAATTACCACACTGCTTTCTACAATGGCTGAACTAATTTACACTCCCACCAGCAGTGTATAAGCACTTTTTCTCCACAACCTCACCAGTATCTGTTATCTTTTGACTTTTTATTAATAGCCTTTCTGACTGTTGTGAGATAGTATCTCATTGTGGTTTTGACTTGCAGTTCTCTAGTGATCAGTGATGTTATCTTCTTTCCCACCTTAACCCCTGATAGTCACTAATATATTTTACATTTGTATAATTTTGTCATTTCAAGAATGTAATATAAATGGTGTCATACGGGCTGTAACCTTTTGGTATTTGCTTTTTTTTTTTTCTCCGCTCCTGACTATAACTCTCTGGAGATAACATCCACATTGTGTTTGTCAATAGCTTGTTTTTTTTTTTCATTCCTGAGTGTTCATGGTATGGAGGTACTAACACTGTTTAGCCCTTTGCCCATTTATGTCTGGGTTGTTTCCAATTTTTGGCTATTATGAATAAAGCTTCTGTAAACATTCTTGTACTTTTTTTGTGGTTCTTTTTAAAATTATGGTATCATATACATAACATAAAATTTACCATCTTAAACATTTTTAATGGTATGGTTCAGTAGCTTTAAATATTTTCTTACTGTTATGGAACTAACACTGTCATCATCTATAGAACCCTCTTCATCTCATAACACCCAAACTGTACCCATTAAACAGTAACTCCCCATGTCCCTTACATTTAGTCCCTGGCTAGTTCATTTTTGTCTCTATGAAAGTGGAATCATAGGGTACTTGTCCTTTTGTAATTGGCTTGTTTCACTTAGCATGACTTCTTCAAGGTTCATGTTGTAGCGTGTGTCAGAATTTCTTTTTAAGGCTGAATAATATTTCATTGTATGTATATACCACATTTTGTTTATCTACTCATCCATTGATAAATATGTGGGTTACACTACCTTTTGGCTGTCATGCATAATGCTACGGTGAACATGGCTGTGCAAATATCTGTTAGAGTCCCTGCTGTCCATTTTTTTGGGTACCCAGAAATGGAATTGCTGGATCACATGGTTATTCTATTTTTATTTTTTGAGAAGCCACCATATTGTCTGTTTTCCATAGTGGCTGCACCATTTCATATTCTATCAACAGTGCACCATGGTTCCAATTGCTCCATATCCTTGTTCTTTCCTTTACTTTTGGAAAAATAGTTGGCATCCTGATGGCTGTGAGTTGGTATTTCATTGTCATTTTGATTTGCATTTCCATAATGATTATGCTGTTAACGTGTCTTTTCGTGTGCTTATTAGCCATTTTTATAGCTTTCTTTGAGAAATACATATCCTAGTCCTTTGCCCATTTTTCAATCAGGGTTTTTCTTGTTGAGATATAGGAATTCTTCATGTGTTCTGGATATTAACACTTGTCAGATATGACTTGCAAATATCCCATTCCATGAGTTGCCTTTTCACTCCATTGATTGTGTCTTTCACTCACTGTGTCTTTTAAATTTTTATCTTTTTTTTTCTTTTATTGTCTGTGTTTTGGTGTTATATCCAACCTCTTCTCCTATGTTGTTTTCTAAGAGATTTATAGTTTTAGCTCTTACATTTAGGTCTTTGATCCATTTTGAATGAATTTTTGTATATGGTATAAAGTGGGGGTCTAACTACGTTATCTGGCATGTGGTTATCTAGTCTTTCAAACAGTTTGTTGAAGACTGTGGTTTCCCTTTTGAATGGTGCTAGTACCCTCGTGAAATCATTGACCATACATGTGAGAGTTTATTTCTGAACTCTTTAATCTATTGCATTTTTCCGTGTAACAACCTTTATGCCGTTTCCATAATGGATTTTTTTAGATGGAGTCTCACTCTGTTGCCCAGGCTGGAGTGCAATGGTGCAATCCTCTGCTCATTGTAATTTCCGCTTCCTGGGCTCAGACAATTCTGCCACAGCCTCCCGTGTAGCTGGGATTACAGGTGCCCACCACCACGCCCAGCTAATTTTTTTTGTATTTTTAGTAGAGATGAGGTTTCACCATGTTGGCCAGGCTGGTTTTGAACTCCTGACTTAGAATGATTCGCCTGCTTTGGCCTCCAAAGTGCTGGGATTACAGGCATGAGCCACCACCCCTGGCCTCCGTGCTGTTTTGATTTCTGTAGCTTTGCAGTAAGTTTTGAAATTAGGAAGTGAGACTTCCAACTTTTTTTTTGTTTCCAAGATTGTTTTGATTATTTAGAGTCCCTTTAGATTGTATATGAATTTTAGGATTGATATTTCTATTTCTTAAAAAAAAACACTGTTGGGATTTTGTTAGGGATTACACTGAATCTGTAGATTGCTTTAAGTAGTATTGACATCTTAATAATATTAAAGCT